CACCAACATCCAGCCAGCCCTGGGCCTTTCAGACCACCTGGCTATCTGCAGTCTCCCCCCTCCTCCAGAGGAGCCCTGCAGATAAGGGAAAGAACCAAACACCTACTGCAAGTGGTACACAGCCTCAAATATTTGCCGTAAGCAGAGCAGTAGGGCACCGGCCACCCCGTCAGCAGTAATTAGCCCTACAAGCCTTGTTCCCTCCCTTGGAAAGGTGGCGCACACGCAGCCCCCCAGGCGCACAGAGAGCACGGCACGGCAGCAAGCCGGGCAGCCGGAGGCCTGGAGCAGCACGGAGGAAAAGGCCAGGGAGCCGCAGAGTTATCAGCCTTTTGCTGCTCAGCCCGAGTCTACGTACGAACAAACTGCCCAGCACGCACCGAACGGGACCATGTGGCAAAACCTCCAGATCTCTGATGTCACTAGAGATAGACACAGACCTGGCAGCTTCCTTCTTCCCTCCCCCGGGGGCACTCCCCTCCTACGGGCAGTGCGAGGCTGGCTGGTCTCCCTGTGCTCGTCTGTTGGCCATGGCTGGCAGGTCTAGTCGGGGGGCAGAAGAGCTGCTCCCACAATGCAGCAGCAGCCTGGTCGAAGCAGACGGAAACAAGATCCAGGACTCCAGGGGTTACAAGCCATCCAGAGCATCACACTCTTCGCCCCGTCCATGCCTCACCCAGCCCCTAGGCAGCACAGCTGGGACACACAGGAGTCAATAATCATGCATCCACCGACGTCTTTTCCACTTAGGGCCTTGCGCTAGGGCACCCAAACCCTCCTCTAGTAAGAGCTCAGCTTTCCGGCACCACTTTCCTGAGCTCCTCTGCAGAGGACAAACAGTTAACCTGCTGGTCTCCCACTCCCCAGGAACTGGGAACCAAGCAGGGGGCTGGGATGGAGGGGATATCAAAGCTTGCATGTTAAATTACTAGGGAGGTCACAACTCTCTTCCATTATAGCCACACACCCTGCTCATTAAGCAATCTGTCTCCAAGGCATGTTCCAGGATTTGGGTGTCTGCACATCAAGGGGAAATAGCTGGCAGGTGTGGAGTTTTGCTCCTTTGAAGATACGGTTGTGCTGCACGGACAGGGATGTTAAATCCAGCCGCTCCAAAAGCATTTTATAAGACAGGGATTAGGTGGGGACTGATCTAATTGACCGACGAAGCGTTGAACCGTCGGTAGCAGCTATAGCCACATGTCAGGACTTATTACTGCTTGAGACAAAACACTACCTCAGGGTTTTAACACACCACTTCAGGAAGCATGACTGCTGCAAATGGGGTCCCCACACACCTCAGCTTTCAGACGCTTGCTCTGTGACACACCCACGCCACGCGCATTGCTGCGTGCGACTGCATGCGTCAGAGTTCTTGTGGAAGCGCAACATGCCCCTAGTTCATAAACTAACCAAGTGCAGTGTCATAGGGTGAGCCTGCGTTGACGGGCGGTGGCTGACAGGTGTGCCTGCCTCAGTTTCCTGTTTAGAAGCCCACCAGTCTCTCAACGCAGATGGCCCTGGGGGGAGGGGGGCGGTAAAAGTCCTGTGTGCGCACACCATTCACAGCTAAAGCCCCACAACCGTAATCCAGAATTCTCCCCAATAGTCCACCCAGATGGCAGCGTGCCCCTGAGGCAAGGGGATAGGCCTGTCCCCACAAATCTGGGCTCACTGCATTGTTCAACGCGCATCATTAAAACGCTGTTTATGGTAAGGACGTTAACTAGCGGTTAAATCACTAGTCGAGAAGTCGATGGAATTTCTATCAACTAGTCGATAGGCACTTCCTCCTTTGAAATGTACAAGAGTTCCCAGTGGGGGCTTCAAGTCCCCCGCTGACCCCGGGCTCCATGCTGCGCTGCCACTTTGAAATGCCACACAGAGCCTGGGAGCTGACCGCGGGTTCCACGCAGCATTTCTCCAGAACCCGGGTTCGATCCCAGGTTCCGCTGAAATGCCACGTTGCCGCTCTCAAGTACCCCCCTTTCCCACCTCTATCCAATAGAGGCAGCAAGGGGGTGGGGAATAGACTAGTCAACTGACTATCCGATAAGCAAATGCTTAGTTGATTAGTCATTAACATCCCTAGTTTAAGGTGGAAGGAACAAAACTATGGAGTGAAAAATCAACATCAAGGTGTATGCCAAAGTAATAGCGTGAGACACACTAAGGAGAGTGCAGTTAATGCTACTATAATCACTGATTTATGTACATTTGGAAATAGCTTTTCCTGTATTTGTGAAAGCTGGAAAATCACCAAAACCCACAATCTCATCAGATCCTGACAAAGGGAAAATCCATGCTAGAAAAAGCCCTTTTCCAAACAAAAGTCCTGAGATCTAAACCCAGGTATAAGTATTTTTCAAGACAGATCTTTGAAAAATTGGCTTAAATATGTACTGTTTACATGTTAGAAAGCGATCATTAGGCTAACCAAGTTCTTAACAACGAGTTCTGTAAGATTTTGGTGGGCTTGGCTGTTTCTTTTACACAAAGATGAGCTTTTGAAGTTAATGAATGTGAACAACAAAATTTTGGACCCCACACAGAGTTAAGGTATCACCCAGTATTTGGATTAAATCCTTTGACATTTTGGAACAATTGATCACTATGTTGTGTGACTCAATCACCCCTTATCTAAAGATCCAACCTGCAGACATCTATTAATTCAGTCTGCAAATCAGGCAACTGACTCGGTTTTTAAGCTATTTTTCTATCCATTATATAGCTATGGTCCCAGCATTGATCCCTGGTTATGCTGCTACACCTTACTTCACTTACTTTAAGCTATTTTTCTATCCATTATATAGCTATGGACCCAGCATTGATCCCTGGGTATGCTGCTACACCTTACTTCACTCGGCCACCATCACAAACTTTTATTATTCCTTCAACAGTATGACCATGAGCACAAGACAACCGAAATGCAAGTGTGCTCTACTTTAAAATCCAGATTGTTGTTTGATGGCAGTGAAGTTCCTAGCTTCCCCCTCTGGATACAAACCAAGCAGAATGCCTGGAATTCTCTTTTACACAAGCATACACAAGACTAAATTAAGATTTTCTATATTCTGCTACTCCAAAACTTAAGTGTAAGATGAAGTTTAGCTCCAAAGGAACATCAACTCACATGATCAGGGCTTCCCATTCAAAGAAATTTTCTTCATTCACAGGCCCTATTTAAAAAAAAAAAAACACATCATTGCTTTACAAACAACAGTCCAGGACACACTTACAATACCTTAGTTTTGCATAGCTCCTTACCTGCTACTATTCCTTCTGGTGGATTCAGGGTTAGCTCTAAAATTCAGAAATAAAAGAATATTGTTATTGATACAGTAGTAGCTTAACATTCCTGAAAATTCAAAGAACAGGACCATTCAACCCCTTCGCAGGATCGGTATAGCTCAGTGTGCTAATTCCTGCCAAACAGTAAGAAGCAAGGAGGAAAAAACTGGGAATGTTCTGATTCCTCCTACTGGGTTTCTAGTCTCCTCACTAGTTGAGTGCTCCAGAGAAGAAATTGACTGACATTCAGCTGACAGAATGAAGTAATTTCATCAACTAACAACCGACTTTCTAGGCAACCTGGCTTTAAAACTTTCCCTGAAAGCTTCATACCCAACAATTTGGACTGTAAGGGGCAGAACCACCCTTCCAACCAAGCACAGAAAACATGCCCCCTTTTTCAGGGTGGGATATTCTCATCTAGCACCCCTAGCTCTCAAAGTCCAATGGACAGGGAAAGACTTTACTGCCACAGCTTCACGGCATTAATTCAGAACTACTGGAAACTTTACCCCAAACACAGCCAGGAGGAGGAACGGAAGCAGAAAGATTTGATGGGAAGAACTGGCTTCAGGCTTCTGTACGGCAGCTGCTGAGGACTACATCCTCTCTGTATGGTTTAAGAAATGTGAGGCAAGGTAACCACAGAACGGCTGTGAACAACTGGCTGGCTAGTCAAGAAGACTTTCCAACGCTGGACAGCCACAGCCTGATGAAAGCAAGCTGTTATCTCATCACAGCACAGTTCATCTGCAGCTTCCTAGCTAGCTGATAATTCCCAATCCACCAAGCTACAGTAGACTTAAAATCATCAGCCCTTTATTTCAGATAATCCAATAAGGAGAGTATCCCAAGGCAAGAATTTATGTCCTTACTGAAGCAATCACTTAGGGCACATCTCCACAGCAGGACAAAAACTGAGATTTCAGATCATCAGGACAAAAGTCAAATTAAGCTATGTAGCGGAAGTCGAAATATCTTAATTCCGCTTTTGGCATGGTCTACACAACAGGAAGTCAAAGGAAGAACACACAGGCATCCTTCAACTTTCCTTACTCCTTGTGAAATGAGGCTTACAGGACTTGGAGTAAGAAGTCCTACAGCTCATCATTATTTCAAAATAAAAGGCTTGCTGTGTAGACGTGCTCTTTGTTATTTCTGAATAACGTTAGTTATACCAAAATAACGCTGCTGTGTAGACATATCCTTAGAAAGTCCCCAATATCTAGAGGATGTGAAGGCAATTTAACTAATTTCTGAACAGAATAAAAACTCTGTAGCAACCAATCCTAATAGATTGAAACACAGAGATTTGGAATGATTTTAGCCCTGCAGAACACTTGGAAGAGAAATTTACTCCTTAGCCTGCCAGCCAGTCACATATGAAACAATACAAGGAAAGCCAATAAGGGATAGGACTGGATGGACTAGCTAGAAAGATGTACATTTGGTCTGACCCACTATGGCCGTCTTGACGTTAGCTTGTGAAACGTTAGATGCTAAAAATACATTAGAACTTCAGAGGACTAAAAATCAAGATGAGAATCAAAATTATGTGATTTTATCAGGACACAGGTCGAACTACATTCCAAATGCAGGTTTTGCTTTAAAAAAAAAAAAGCCCATAATGCAGCCAGATTTTAACTGCTCAACTAGAAGAGGAAGGCTCCATTACTCATTATTAATACTAGGTGCCATCTACGCACTCTTAAGGTTTGTTTGTGTTAGAGATTAAGCGTCTCTAATTCATTTTTAAGCCAGAATGAGATCTATTCATCTGCAAGTCTCCACTGAGCATGTCTGGTGCACATAATCACCACTAAGGCAGGTTCTGGATGCCCACATTTTTAGAAAAGGTTTAGTTTGTTATAAAGTATAAAACAGTTATGGTCCAAGTAAACTTTGATCTAAGTAGAGCAATTGTATAAACATACCAAGAATCTGCATTTTAATCGAGCCTGATTATGTTCTTAAATTATCTGCGGAACATTACACCTTCTGAAAACTGCGTTACACATTTTATTAATTAACCTGAGGGTGTTCAAACTATTAAACACAGTCTACCTGGGAAATGCACCTTCTTCCCTTAGTGCAGACAAATGATAGGACTTTGACCTGAGATTCGGGAAAACCAATTCTATTCCCCACTCTGCCATTCCCCTATTGTTGTATGCAGCATTGTTGTAGCCTTATTGTGTGACTTTGGGCAAGTCACTCCCTACAGCTGTCAGTTGTGGAGAACAATGACACTTTCCTTTGCCAAGTACATGGACCTATGAAGATACTTAGCTGTTCTATAGCAAATATTATTCACTGTTATAGCTTCCGTTAGAGACAATAGAAACATTCTCTGTCCTGAAGTCACCCATCATATTTATTGGTTCCCCCTTGTGTTAAGTGAATCCATTATCACTATCTGGGGAAGCGTCAATATTTATACGATGCCATTTCCTACATTTTTGAACATTCAAATCTCCTAGAATTGTGCTTAATAGCCAGCTAGGGAAAAGCCCCAAATATTACATTTAGGAAAGGAAGGGCATTTTCAAAGCAGTGGTTTCAATATTAATTATGTTAACCAGCTGCAGAAACCTTGCCTAAATAATTATCTATTTTTATTTCATGAGAGCAGCTGCTAATCACAACCTGTCCAACTGCTATGCTTGATTTTTCTCTTTTTTGCTTCCGATGGAATCTTTCCAATTTTCATGTCAGAGTGTGCAGGCTGAAATGAGGCTGTGGCTTATATCCCGAAGCATAAACAATTATATCCCTTCTAATTGTTTTCTTTTTTAATCATGTCTAATGTAATTGTAGATGTTCTCTGCCATAGAAGTGTCTAATTTTTTCCTAATCCTACTTGGCTCTTAGCCTCAGATGTATCTCATGGCAATAAATTCCACAGATTAAATATCTCTTTTTTTAAAAAGGAAATACTTTCTTATATACAGGCAGTCCCCGGGTTACGTACAAGATAGGGACTGTAGGTTTGTTCTTAAGTTGAATCTGTATGTAAGTCGGAACTGGAGTCCAGATTCAGCCGCTGCTGAAACTGATACACTATCTGTATGCCAGTTCTGACTTACATACAGATTCAACTTAAGAACCCCAGGCGTCCCCAAGTCAGCTGCTGCTGAAACTGATCAGCGGCTGATTCCAGGAAGCCCGGGGCAGAGCAACTCTGCCTCGGGCTT